GCCCACCAAGGCCGCAGCCAGCTAGCCACTATGTAGCTGGCATATAGTAAGTGCATTTGGTGGGTGAATAGAAGGAAGAAAGAGAGAAAAAGAGAGAATGAAATAAAGGGAAAAAGAAAAGTGGAAAGGAAGAGGAGAGAGAAAGAATGGGGAAGGAAAGGAGAGAAAGAATGGGGGAAAGAAGAGGAGAAAGAAAAAGAACAGGGGAAAGAAAGAGGGAGAGAGAAAGAAATGGAATAAGAAAGATGAAAGGAGAGAGAAAGAATGGGGGAGAAAAAAGGGAGAAAGAAAGGGAAAAGAATGGAGAAAAGAAAGACAGAGAAAGAATGGGGGAAAGAAGAGAAGGAGAAAGAGAAAAAACAGGAGAAAGAAAGAGAGAGAGAGAAAGGGAAAAAGAAAGATGAAAGAAAGAATGGGGGAGGAAAATAGGGAGAAAGAAAGGGAAAAGAATGGAGAAAAGAAAGACAGAGAAAGAATGGGGGAAAGAAGAGAAGGAGAAAGAGAAAAAACAGGAGAAAGAAAGAGAGAGAGAGAAAGGGAAAAAGAAAGATGAAAGAAAGAATGGGGGAGGAAAATAGGGAGAAAGAAAGGGAAAAGAATGGAGAAAAGAAAGACAGAGAAAGAATGGGGGAAAGAAGAGAAGGAGAAAGAGAAAAAACAGGAGAAAGAAAGAGAGAGAGAGAGAAAGAAAGGGAAAAAGAAAGATGAAAGAAAGAATGGGGAGGAAAAGAGCGAGAAAGAAAGGGAAAAGAATGAAGAGAAAGAACCGGGGAAAGAAAGAGAGAGAAAGGGGAAAAGAAAGAAAGAATAGAGGAAAGAATAGGGGAAAAGAAATGAGAAAGAAATAAAGTTGCATTAGGAGAGACAGAGTGTCCACAACGGGGGAAATAATAGCTCCGTGGTCCTCTGCCCTAGTCAGACCACAACTAGAATGCTGTCCACGTAACCGGGTGCCACAATTCAGGAAGGACATTGACAAAAAGGACCAAGTGCAGAGAACAGTGATCCACATGGCAAGACGGCTAGCAGCCACGCTGTAAGATGTAAAGCCTTAACAACCCAGCTCCAGACTCCCCCTCCAGCTGTACTAAACAAGACTGCCCATGCCACACTCTGCAGCGCAGTCACTTAGAACATGGGTCATTGCACCTCCCATCTCTGTGTCTTTGCCAAGGCTGGTCCCTATGCCTGAAATGCCCTCCCTCCTGGGATCCTTTGTTTCTTTCAAAGCTCCCACGTGCCTTTCTGGATTCTCCTTCTTTCTCCCCACCCCGTACCCCATCCTGCTGCCAAACTACCCTGTAATTAGCTTGTATGCATCTTGTAGGTTCTGATATATACATATTGCATATTAACTGGGTACATTACAAACCTATGTTAGCCAGCTTCACTGCAGCAAGGAAGTTCCTTTATTTCTCTGTAATTGATTCCATACCTGATTCCCCATAGGAGCTATTCCAGACCTTCTCTTCCCTCCTCAGCTCTTCCACACATGTCCTTCCCCACCCTTCAGCTGAAGATCTTGCCTCTTTGGTAAGAAGTGCAGGCAGCGCGTAGTGTAGTGGCCTGGAATCAGGAAGACTTGAGTTCAAATTCAGCCTCAGACACTTACTAGCTGTGTGACCCTGTGCAAGTCATTTAACCTCTGTCTGCCTCAGTTTCTTCAACTGTAAAATGCAGCTGATAAAAGCATTCTACTTTGCAGACTTCTTGTAAGGACCAAATGAGATAGTAATATTTGTAAAAAGTGCTTAGCAGGGGCAGCTAGGTGGCGCAGTGGATAGAACACTGGCCCTGGATTCAGGAGGACTGCAGCCTCAGACACATAACACTTACTAGCTATGTGACCCTGGGCAACTCACTTAACCCCCATTGCCCACCTGAAAAAAAAACAAAAACAAAAAGTGCTTAGCACAGTCCTCAGCACGTAGTAGATACCATATAAATGCTATTCTCTTTCCTCTTTTCCCAATTTCCATCTCAAAATCTTTGACATCACCTCTTCCTCTCTACTCCTGTCTTTGGATATTTGGAGTTTTTTGGTTTTTTTTTTTTAAGGCAATTGGGGTTAAGTGACTTGCCCAAGGTCACACAGCTAGTAAGTGTCAAGTGTTTGGTCTGAGGCCAGATTTGAACTCAGGTCCTCCTGACTTCAGGGCCGGTGCTCTATCCACTGCGCCACCCAGCTCCCCCCTTTACTCCAGTCTTTGACAAAGAGGTGGCCTTCCTTGCTAAGATCAACCCCTCTACATGTGCCCTTGATCCCATCCCCTTCCATCTTCTCCAACAGATTCTAACCTTATTTATTTATTCCCTCTCTCTCAATAGTCTTCAACCTCAGTCAATTGATAAACATTTATTAAGCACCTACTATGTGCCAGGAACTGTGCTATGTGCTGGGGATACAAAAAGAGGCAAAAGACAGTCCCTGCACTCAAGGAGCTTACAATCTAACGGGGGAGCCAACATGCAAACGAATATATACAAATAAGCTACATACAGGATAAAGAGGAAATCATTAACAGAGGGAAGACACTGGAATTAAGAGAGGCTGGAGAAGGCTTCCTGTAGGAGGTGGGATTTTAGCTGGGACTTACAGGAAGCCAGGGAGGTCAGTAGGGAGAGCGAAGGAAGGAGAGCTATCTCCTGGTCCCTTTCCTACTACTTTACACATACGCATCTCCCATCCTTTAAATTAAAAAAAAAAAAGCCTTTATGGGACTCTGCCACCCCCTCAAGTTGCTCTCCTCTTTCTGTTCCTTTTTCTCAGCCAAATTCCTGGTGGGAAAAAAAAAACCTGTTTACACTTGCTGCTTCTTCTTCCTTTCTTTGCACTCTTCCCTCAATCTTTTGCAAACTGGATTCCAACCTCATCTCTCAACTGAAGTTGCTCTCTCCAAAGTTGCCCGTGATCCTTTGATGGGTTTTCTTATCCTTGAGTTTTCTGCTGCAGATAACACAGTTGACTAATCGCCCTCTCCTTCTGGGTTGTCTGTCCTCTTCTGGGTTTTCAGGACACTGCTCTCTTCTGCTTCTAGTAACAACAACAACATCTAGAATTTGTATAGCTCTTTAAGGTTTGCAAAGTGCTTTACAAAAATTATCTTGTGTGACCCTATCAACAACCCTGTGAGGTAAGTGCTAAGAGTATCCCCATTTTACAGATGAGGAAACTGAGGCAGATAGGGGTTAACTGACTTGCTTATGGTCCCATCACTTGTAAGTGTCAGAGGTGGGATTTGAACCTCAGGTCTTTCCAACTCCAAATCTCATGCTCTATCCCCTGTTGTCAACCAGCTGTTTCCTGCCTTACCCAGCTCTTTCTCTGGCTCCTTTGCGGGTTCATCATTCATATCATGCTCCCAACTGTTGTATTCCTCCAGAGTTCTGTCCTAAACATTCTTCTCTTTTTCTTCTCCCCATGTCCCCTCCCTCCTTTCTTACCTTTCCCCTCTCCCTCTCTCCTTTCTCTCCTCCCCTCTTCTCTCCTTTTTTCTTCTCTCTGCTTTCTTTCTCTTTCTGTCTCTGTCGCTGTCTTTCTCTGCCTCTTTCTCCCCCCACTTCTCCCTCTCTCTCTCATCCTCCTTCCCTCATCTCTCTCTCTTTCTCCTCCTTTCTCCCTCTCCTTCTCCTCCTTTCTCCCTCTCCCTCCTCCCAATTAGTTCCCATGGGAGTTTAACTGTCATTTCTAAGTAGCTGACTCTCACCACCACCACTCTCCCCTTGAACTGTAGCCCCACATCTCCAGTTACCTATTAGACATCTCAAACTGGGGGTGGCTAGGTGGTGCAGTGGATAGAGCACTAGCCTCGGATTCAGGAGGACCTGAGTTCAAATACAGCCTCAGAAACTTGACGCTTCCTAGCTGTGTGACCCTATGCAAGTCACTTAACCCTGATTGCCTCATCAAAAAAAAAAGTGTATGATAGACATCTCAAACTGGCTGTACTATAGACATTTCAAACTCAGCATGTCCATAACCCAGCATGCCCCGTACCCTCTCCTATTCCAAACTTCCCTCTTTCTGTAGAAGGCACCACTGTTCTTCCAGGGTTTATAACCTCAGCCATCTCCTGGACACTTCACTCTCCCTCAATCCCCATTCTACCTCCACCACATCTTTAGCGTTTGAGCCCTTCCCTCCCCTCAGACAGCTGCCACCTCAGTTCAGGCCTCTCTCCTAGACTCCTCATTGGTCTGACCTCCTCCATTCTCTCTCCATTCCAATCCAAACTCCACACTGCTGCCAAAGTGAACTTCCTAAAACAAAAATCTGACTGGGTCCTGCCCTTCCTCTGTGACCTCCTATGGCTCCCTGTTGCCTCTAAGATAAAATACAGACTCCTCTGCTTCGCTTTTAAAGCCCTGCACAATCTGGCACCAGCCTATCTCTCCAGCCCTGTTGGCCGTCACTTCCCTTCACACACCTGGCAATCCACACACATAACACAAATGGTAGGTTGTTGTTACTATTATCATCATTATTACCTGGCCCCAGTGGCCAGAAGAGGAAGGGGTGAAAGTTGCAAAGAGCCATATCCAGGCTAAGGAAAACCTTCCCAATTACCTGAGCCACTCAAAAGGAGATTGGGTTGCCCTTAGGAAGCAATGGGTTTCCCACTACTGGAGGTCCTCAAGGAGACACTGGCTAACCAATTAGTCAAAAATTTCTTGGGTATATTATAAGGGGCAGCTAGGTGGTACAGTGGATAGAGCGTGGGGTCTAGAGTCAAGAAGACCCAAGTTCAAATCCAATTTGACGCTTACTAGCTGTGTGCCCTGGGGAAGTCACTTAACCCTGTTTGCCTCAGTTTCCTCATCTGTGAAATGAGCTGGAGAAGGAAATGGCAAACCGCTCCAGAGTTCCTTGCCAAAAAACCCAAATGGGGTCATGAAGAGTTGAACACGATTGAAATGACTGAACAGCAATGTTACAAAGGAAATTCTTGGTCAAGTAGGCCTAGATGGCATTGATCCCTCTTTATCTCTAACTTTCTCAGGTCAGGAAGACTACGACCGCCTTCGTCCCCTGTCGTACCAGAACACTCACCTTGTCCTCATTTGCTATGACGTCATGAATCCCACTAGCTATGACAATGTGCTCATTAAGGTGAGGGCTCTGAGAGTTCTGAACCCTGGTCAGCCATCTTGATCCTCTCCAGGTCACTGGGTGGGTTCATGGGAAAAGGTCAGCACCATGGAAAGTTCCTGCTGGAAAGAAGGTAGCAGGTGGCCTCTGGGATTAAGAAATATGGCTAAAATCCAGAATATCTGCATGGGCAGGGATTCTTCCCACAGCCCCTACCTAGAGCCAGGCTGAGCCCAGCACATAGCCACCCTATGATTGCTCAGAGATCATGGGAATCACAACTTCCTTCCTTCCAACAGCACTCTCAGGGTTGCAAAGTCTGTAACAACCCTAAGATGTGAGTAGGGCAAGGGTCATCATCCTCATTTTTCAGATGAGGTAACCGGGTTTGAGAGAGATTAATAGATTGGCCGAGACCATGAAGATACTGAGTGATGGTACCAGGAGCCAGACACATGGAACACGCCGCTTCACATCTCTCAGATGCGGTTTCTCCATCCATAAGATGGGGATAATCACACTTACACAGTTAGTGCGAGAGTAAAATAATGCATGCAAAATGCTTTACAAACCTTAAAGCAATGTATAAATATGATTGTTGTTATTATCTGAGAGGTAGGGTAGATATAGAGCCTCGGGACTCGGAGCTGGCTTCCAAGCCTTCCTCTAATAATACTGTGTAACCCTGGTTAAGTCACTTCCCCTCTTTCAGACTCAGTTTCCTCATCTATAAAATGGGGACAGTAATAGCACCTACCTCATTAGCAACACTCTAATGCCACAAGTTGCACAGGAGATGACAATGTGCATTGGTAAAAAGAGTTTCCTCATCTGGGAATATGCCAATTTTCATTTCAATTTCATGTGCCAATGAAATTACAGGTCTGGTCCTTTTATTAATCATTATTATTATTTAGAGCTGGATAGGCCCTTAGAGGTCATCTTACAGATGAGTAAACTGAGGCCTAGAGAGAAATGGCTCAGTTAAGGTCTGTTAAGTAGCTAACAGAGGTGGGTCAAATCCACCGACCTTTACCCGATATCACAGATTTGGACGGATATTATGGAAAGAGGACTGGCTCTGAAATCAAAGGGCCTGGATTCAAATTCTTACTGCCTTGTAACTTTTGGGGCAAATCCCTTTTTCTCCACAGGCCTCAGTTTCCTTATCTGTAAAATTGGGGAGGGTGGCCTAGACAATCTCGAAAGGTCGCTTCCCGCTCTGAATTTGTGCTACTTGGATGACCTTGGACAATTCCCACCCCATCTTTGGGGTCTCGGCTTCTTCATCTGTAGAACGAGGGGCTGGTCCCTTCTGGCTCAAGATCTTTTTGCGATCCCACGGTATCCACTCTTCTGGGCACTTGCTATGATGCCGCTCACTCCCTTGTACCCGTAGATTTGATGCTACCTATGCTATCTACTCCACCCCCCTACAGTGGTACCCTGAGGTCACTCACTTCTGCCACGGGACACCCATGGTTCTCATCGGCTGCAAGACTGACTTGAGAAAGGACAAGGAGCAGTTGCGAAAGCTACGAGCTGCTGAGCTAGAACCTATCACCTATGCCCAGGTCAGTCGGGGCTAGAGACATCTCTGCTCCACAGCACGTTACAGGTCCCTTCCTGATCACTGTGGGAGGTGGTTCTCTAGAGACCTTGCCCTTGCATGAGCTGGGGCTCCTCTGAAGAATCACGGCAGGGTCTGCTTCAGTGCTTTGGGGGTGGTTGGAGGAATCCTGTTGTCGCTCCCACTTTTAAGTGCTACTGATATTTTAAAATCCCCATCTCTCTCTCTCTCTCCCCCTTTCCCTCTCTCTCCCCCTCCTGCTCCTCCTCCCCTTCCCTTCCTCTCCCCCCTTCTCTCTCCCTCTTTCTCTCTCTCTCCCCCTCTCCCCCTCCTGCTTCTCCTCTCCTTCCCTTCCTCTCCCCTTTCTCTCTCTCTCCCTCTTTCTCTCTCTCTGTCCCCCTCCTGCTCCTCCTCCCCTTCCCTTCCTCTCCCCCCTTCTCTCTCCCTCCCTCTCCCCCCCTGCTCCTCCTCCCCTTCCCTTCCTCTCCCCCCTTCTCTCTCCCTCTCTCTCCCTCTCCCCTTCCCTTTCTCTCTCTCTCTCTCTCCCCTCCCTCTCCCCCCTGCTCCTCCTCCCCTTCCCTTCCTCTCCCCCCTTCTCCCCCGCCTGCTCTTCCTCCTCTCCCCCTTCTGTCTCTGTCTCTGTCTCTCTCAGCTGCCCCTCCTTGCAGCCTATCAGAGATTCATCTAGCAGAAGCTGAGCTCCTTTATGGGACCGGCACCTGCCGAACGACAAACAGGCCATTATTTTCCATCAACACAGACTGGTGAGGGCCAGTCCCAGGATGTAGAGGACAGGGGGCATTTGGGGCTGATGAGGAGGGAGCAGCTGGCCAGTCCACAGACTGTTTCCATCTCTTCCATCACCCGCTGTGTGTATTCCACCCAAACTGCACTAGGCTGAGGAAGGAGGTTGGAAGGATCACTGGGGAGGCGGGGTGGGAGGCTTCCTGACAATGCTAATCTCCCATGCCGAGGGTTACCTAGCCCAAGTGACTCCCCCACGTCCCTGGGCTTCTAGTGATTAATACTGGACCCTGCTTCCCCCACAGGGTGAGAGTGCCTGCCAACAGATGAAGGCAGCCCTATACCTGGAGTGTTCGGCCAAGTTCCGTGAGAACGTGGAGGACGTGTTCCGAGAGGCCACCAAGGTCGCCCTTAGTGCCCTCAAGAAGGCCCAACGAAAGAAGAAACGGCACATCTGTTTGCTGCTATGATGGGATCCCAGGTCCTGGACAGCCCCGACGGGCTGGGCCGGCCGTCTTGGTCTCCCCAGTCTCCTATGGAGCTAGTGGCTGGGGAGGGAGGGGGGAGGGTGATGCCAGTGCAGCTGTGGGAAGGAACCCTAGATCCCATCTCCAGGGGACTCCTTTCCTAGCTCTGAGTCAGTGCAGATTTGCGAGATCCCCAGAGCAGGGCATAGAGTGCCTCCCATGGAACACACGGCCCTGAATGATTCCTTTCTGCCTGGTTGAAGCCAGTGACTCCCAACCAGTCTCTTGGGTTTGGCCCTCATGCTGAAAATGGGGTTTGGAGGCTACCCAGCTCGGGCCATCAACCCACATTCACTTATTAATAAGCACCTAGTACCAGGCTCTGTGCTAGGTGTTAGGGTACAAAGATAATGAAACCCTACCCTCAAGGAGCTCCCATTCTATCAGGCCCTGGGGAGAAAGGAGCCGTTGCTTACGTCCAAGTGTCCGCGTCCCACCTGTTAAGTGGGCCACGTAGGCAGCTCTGTTTTTCCCCTTCATCCCAGGGAGGTGGGGGGGGAGGGGGAGGTCAGCCAAGCCCTCTGGGCTAAGCACAGGGCTGACCCAGGGAGAATGTGCAAGGGAAGCCAGACTGTCACTCGAAGGATGAGCCACTTGGAGAGGCTGACGCCCGTCACTGACAGGATGGACAGCTGTCGAGATGGACTTTCACCAAGATCTTGCTGTTCGTGTACAGGTTGGACTAGCTGACCTCTGAAAGCCCATCTCACCGAATCTGTTAGTCACCCAGCTGACGTACAGGATGCCTGCTGTCAGAGGCGAGCCTAACAGAGACTCTGGAATTCCCAAAACCCCTTTCTCACACCGTCTTGGCCACATTCAGTTTCACATTAAAAACCACCACTGGTACAAAAGATATGATGGCCCTGTTACTTGGTTGGGAAAAGACAATGGGCTGGTAAGACCACTGACATCTGGGACGCAGATAGCCAGAGGAGCCCATTCTATTGTGCCTCAAACAACCCCCTCCCCATTTCCCAAACCCCGGGTGGCCAAGATAACAGGCCCTGCTCCCTCTTCCTTCCTGCACCCAGAGCCCTGGGCCTATCAGACAGTTGCAGGCAGCAACCACCAGCCCTCAGATGCCTGCCTTCCTTCCTCCTACTCACACGTGGTTGGGTCTCACATTCTCTCCTCTTGGGCTATGGCTCACTTGGCTTATTTTACAGATGGGCAAACTGAGGCCCAGGGAGGGAATTATTCACAGAGACATTCCTGTCCTTTCTGCTCTGGGGCGTGAAGGTGGACAAGGAGGTTCTGAGTTCTGGAGGAAGGATCAGAAGCCAGGATCCAGGAGCACCCCTCCTCCTCCATCAAAGGGTCCCTGGAATAGGTCAACAGGCCCAGGGCCGGAGTCTATAGACCCCTCCCCCGCCCCCCCACCGGCAGGTAGAACTGCTGCCCATCAGTGTCACAGCCTTGAATAGCAGTCACTGTCTCTATCCACACCACCCTTTCAAAGAAAGCAGGCTTCAGACAAATGAGAATTTTTATTAAAAACTGAAACCATCCCAGGATCTGGGAGGGAGTGGCGGTTGACTGAAGACTAGGAAGGTGGGGGAGGAGAAAGAATCTGGGGGGAGATTCAGGCTGGTGCTGGCTGGTCATAGCCCCCCTCCACCCTCACCCCACCAAGATGGCGGTGCTTGGGGGAAGGGGGAGATACTTAAGGGGTGGCCACGGCCCACACAGAATCAATTCTCAATTACCCACAGGAGGGGTCAGCACGGATGCCAGATCCCTTAAAACAGCAGATTAAAATTCCAGTTCTACTTGGCTCTCTCCTCCCTCCCCCAAATTCACCTTCTGAATGACATCTCCCAGTAGCATGCATTCCTAGGACTTTAAGGCTGGCTGGAAGAGAGTTCTGAAGAGTTCTGGTCCAGGCCCAGTTTTCCCTGAGTGTGCCCACACTGACCTTGAGGAAGGAGCACCCAGAGTTGGGAAGCTGTGTTTCAGCCACCCCCCCATCCGACCCGTCAAACCCATCCACATCCAGTGGCCCACAGCACCCTCTGCTGGTGTCGCCTGAGAATTGCCGCCCACTCTTCGGTGGGCATGCAAGGCCCC